TTTCTGACAGGTTAATCTCATTCCATTTGTAGACAATCTCCACAATGAAAGCGACTTGCCCGCCTCGTCTCCATATTTCAATACCTGAGGGCCGAGGAGATATCCTACATAACATCTGCCGAGCCCCTTCTGCTTGTTTTCTTGACAAACTAATTAATCTTGTGCGAGCTCGGCGGAGAGTGCTCGTCTGAGCTCGGCTATAATAATCTTCTGCATTTTCCCCTTCTCTACACTGAGGCGAAGAGCTCGGTCTATGCCGGCTTAACGAGCGTCTAATGAAGCCTGTGATACCTTTGAGAGATGAGACACAATACGCTTTATTAATAAAAGGAAGGAACAAAGGAAAGAGCAGCATTTCTCATGGCAACCATGACTGCGCTAACTTTTAACCAATGGCGAGGAAACTAAAAATTGGGAATTTGGCTGGCTCTATAGACTACTCGGATGCTTGTGCTCTTCTCAGGAGTTTAAAGGAATCATTGGTTTCCAGCAATGATAGTTTTGGGCGCAAGCTTTTTGTATTTCAATGTTTTTATTAATTTATAAAAAGTTTAAGACAGGAGCAACAAAACATGCCCACGCAGGGGCTATCAATTGCACATAAAACAAAAATTTAAAAAAAACAGTGCTCTAACACCAACAGAGCAAAAGGTGTGCCCACACAGGGGCTATCAATGGCACATAAATGACAAAAACCATTAGTATAACATCAACAGTAACTCAAACTAAAGGCAGCCATCCACTGCCACACCAAAAACAAACAGAAAAAGAAAAGGAAAGAGCAGTACAAAAGTAAAAAAGATAACAAGACCAAGAGCAGGGGTCCGAGAACTCCAACATCACAACCCCAGACTAGCCGGGGGGAGCATAGGAAAGGCATATTGCAACCACGGCTCCCATATTTTCAAGAATTTCCGTTGGGAGTCGTTACAAATACTCAATATCTGTTCATTGAGCATCATAGTGGTCATACGGTCCCGCACCCCCTGAAGAGGGACAAACGGGCTCTTCCAAACCTGAGCAATTGTTCTAGTGGCCGACAAAAACAAATAGGAAGCCAACTTCTGCTGATGAGCCAAGAGGCCCGGTATGGGACAATGAAGCAAAGCATACCGGGCATCCCGGCGTATGGAGAGATTGAACAAGGTGAAAAGGAGACCAAAACACACAAGACCAAAAACGAAACAGTCTCGGGAATGACCACGAGATATGCAATACATCACCACCATAGCTACAACCTCGAAAGCATCGATCACTGTAGGAAGGGTTCGCCTGGGCCAAACGAGCCAGAACCCAATACCAACAAAACCAAACCTTGTATGCCGCCTCCAGCGTGGTCGTATTAAATGAACATTTAGCTATAAGCGACCAGGCCCTATTCCAGTCCTCCAGATCCATGACTGCCCTAAGGTCGCGTTTCCACTGAGTGACATATGAGAGAGAAGTATACGCCGAGCGTCTGTTCAAAGCTGCATAAAGAAGGGAAATAAGAACAGGGGCGCCCGGATGCTGTTTGCAAAGCAGCTCAAGGCAGATTTCTGGTATGGGAAAGTGGAAGTGCCCCGAAGTTAGGTCAGCCAATTCCGCAATTGAAGATAACGAAAAAATTCTGCCGGAGGGACATCCCATGACTCCCGAAATGGGTGCAAGCTTTTGATGGAAGAAACAAAAAAATGCTTTACAAGCCTCGACCACCAACCTTAACCAAGTCCTAGGCTGGGTGCACACTTTTACACTGTGGTGCATTGTCATAGGCCACCTATTCAAATGAATCGGCTGGCAATGCACCAGAATGTCTCAAAAAATGGACATGCACTGTCTGGCAATGCTGCATGGGTAGCTGAGTTGGATTAGTCCAGTGGTCTCCAAACTGTGGCCCTTTGCTTGCCTTTATCTGATAGGAGGCACTATTCCTCCTACTGAAAGGGAGAGTGAGACATCAGCAATGATGGGGCAATATTCCTTTCCCTGACACCAAAATTAAGGCAGAGTTCTACCCACTGACACCAACAATGGAACCTGTTTCTGTTGAAAGACCAATAGGCAGCCCAACAGCCAACTAAGGCCCCTTTCAAATGGGGCAAATCTGCTTGCTCAGTAGGAGATCTCTCCACTGATCCCCTGCTGAGCAGAACAAAGTGGGCGGATGACAGGTCCATGTTCACTCAGTTTATGCAGAGCAGACACAGACCATGCCCACTCTGCTCTATGGGCAGCGAGGTGTAAATGGACCAGCTATCCTTTTTACAACCATCTACCTCCTATCTGACCTGCCATTACGGAAGAGGACAGATCCTCTTCCATTTGATTGGAGGTAGACAGATGTAAAACGGATTCAAGTCCATTTACACCCGTTGGTCCCTAGAGATACATGGACCATCCAATCAAGTCCGCCTGAAAAACTGACAGGCAGAGCTGATGGGATTGCCTGCATGAAAGGGGCCTAAAAGAGGATACATGGCAGCCTAACAGCCTTTTTGCTAATTATGAGGCAGTGGCTTAATGTTGTCAGAAGGAAGTGCCGTCACCGGCAGGACCTCAAAATAAGAAACTTTGCAACAAAAAAACTATTTATTTAGGACAACTGTATACAGTGAAGCATGCTGGAAAATATAACTCCATAGGCAAAACATTCATGAGCGAGCTGCAATTGCCAAACCGCTAGTGACCGATATCAATGCTCAAAGAGGAGTGGTGCAACCCCCCATAAATCATAGACTATCAATCAATGAAAGATTGTAATATGGTCCAATGAATCGAGCTTCACACTGTTCCCAACCACTTGACATGTTTACGTTTGGCAAACACGTCCCAAGCTTACGACCAGGACTGTCTTGTGCCATTGGTAAAGCATGGTGGCGGCGATCATGGTTTCGGCAGCCATATCTTGGTATTTTCCAGGCACCATCATTACCTTGAAAGGTAGAATCACTGCCAGCGACTGTGTACAAAATATGGTCAACCATGTGCACCCCATGGTGCAGACATTGTTTCCCAAAGACAGCGCCATTTACTAAGACCATAATGCTCTGATTCACACAGCTGGTGTTGTCAAATTGTGGTTTGGCGAGCATGCAGATGAAGTCTCGCACCTTCCCTGGGTGCAGCAGTCTCGCCGGACCTCAATACTATAGAGCCACTGATTTTTTTGAACACATTATTACTCGAGAAGAACTTGATTTGATCTAATTTTGGACTTATAGGGTTTGGACTGCACGTATTTATTTATTATTGAGGACTTATTTTATAGCATCTTCTGCTTATTAATTTTTGTACATCTTTTGGGGTAAAGGTGTTGATGGTGCTGTGGGGAATTGTGTTTATATAATTTTATTTAGAGAGTGGTTTTTGATTTTATTCAGAGAATCCAAGATACTTAAATTCTTGCAGAACAAAAAAAAAAATGCATTTTGGGGGTCACAAGCTACCCCTTCATCAGGGATACAAGTACAAATACAAACAGAATGGTATATTTAGAAAATATACTGTAGATATAGTCAACCTCTTGGCACTCACAGAATGCATATGTGCAGCAGAAAAGGGGTAAACCCCCACATGATCCTGCATGATGCACATATGCTGAAAGCGTGCTCACTGCTGGCTCCCAGCACAGTGACCGAGTGTCAAAGTTAGCACTTTGTCTCTACTAAGGATTGGAAAAAAGTGGGACTGGTTCCCAATCATGTGACCACTTTGACAGCCAATCACAGTGGTCACCTGATCAACTGGACCTCCCATCCCTTCTAGGTCTAAAGACGCTATTAACCACTACAGTTGCAAGCCATTTATAGCACTTTTTGTATACATTTTAAAATCAGTATTTTTTGCAAGAAAATGTCTTAGAACCCCAAACATTATATATTTTTTTTAAAGCAGAGGCCCTAGAGAATAAATTGGTGGTTTTTGCATTTTTCTTTGTCACGAAGTATTTGCACAGCGGTTCTTTCAAATACAATGTTTGGAAAAAAATACACTTTTTTAAAAATTGTATTGGAAAAAAAAAACTACAATACTTAACCCATTTTTTTTGCAAAATATAAGAGGATGTTTATACCGAGTAAATAGATGCCAAACATGTCACGCTTTAAAATTGCGTGTACCCGTGCAACGGCAACACACGATGTAAATGTTACTATTCATAGATGACGATTTAAAAGCCTTTACAGGTTACCACTTTAGATTTACAGAGGAGGTCTAGTGCTAGAATTACTGCCCATGATCTGACGATTGCAGCAATATCTTAATGCGTGGGATCATTCGCCTGCGTGCGGGACTGACACGTGCGGTCTCCTTAGCGTGCGAGCACTTTAATTTTTTTTTTTCAAACTGTCATTTTAAATTTCTTTTTTAAATAATTTTTATTGCTGTCACAAGGAATGTAAACATCCCCTGTGACAGCAAGGAGACACGTAACAAGTATTTTTTATGGAGGAATCTGGGGTATTTAGGACCCCAAATCCCCCTTCTGAACTTGAAAGCATTCAAAGACACCAAGGTCGATGTTTTTAAATACTTTAAGATTTTTTAAAAATGGCGCTGAGAGTTTCTGAGTAAACCGGTTGCGATGTCAGTGCATTGCTTCTGGTTTACAATAAAGGTGAGCCGATCAAAGCAGATTCCAGCTTTGTTTGGCTGTCCGCGGACTCAATGGTTGGTCGCTCGGAGGTCCCAGTGGGACAGGAGATCCCGAGAGACCCGGGGAAAGCAGCAGGAGGTGGTGGGGGAGTCCCCTCCCGCTGCTTGTACAAGCAATTGGAGCAGTCAGTTAGCCGCTCTGCCTGCTTGCAAAAAAGAGCCAAACGCCAACTCTAAAAAACGGTACTGGGTCTCTCCGGTACAACCACCGAAAGTCGCTGCTCAGAAAGTAGTTACAGGGATGCTGGGGCTGGGAGGGAAGGGGTTAGGGAAAATGATGATTACAAACAATACAAATCTAATAAAATTGGTACTAAGAATTAAATTATGGCAGGACCGTCTCACGATCATATGGCCACTTTGACAGCCAATCACAGTGGTCACCTCATCAGTTAGACCTTCCAGGAGCAGACTGACCATTCAGGCACTCGGGCACTGCCTGAGGGCTAGGGGTCAGTAGGGTGCCCCATGAGCTGCCTCTGGTACCTTTCATAGGCTTTTTTGGGTGTTGTTTGAGTGTGGGCGAGGACACAGGGGCCCCATGATCCCCTATTGCCCGGAGGCCCCATGAGTTGTCAGTCTGCCTCTGAGACCTTCCATCCCTTCTAGGCATGAAGACCTTCTTTAAAGGGATGCTGAGGCTGGGCTTGAGGATGTTAAGAAGAATTTTTGAAAAAACAATACAAATATAATAAAATTGGTACTAAGAATTAAATGAGGTCGTAAAAACCTAAGCACACACTGAAGCCATAAAAACCTGTTTTTAGGTTTTTACCCATTGTTAATTTTAATATCATTTTAATGATATCTTTACTGTTTTTAAACATAATTCTCAATTAATTTCACCTATAATCATCATTCGCCATACAGTATAACTCAACTCAAAGCAAAGAATACAATAGGAGCACCAAGCCAAAAGGTAGAGACTCCAAAATGCTTAAAAAAAAAATCAAGAAAAAAAAAAAACAGCCAATGCATTTCTGGGGTCACAAACTCCCCTTTCATAAGGCTTCAAGAAGGATACAACCAGGGGCGGACTGACAACTCATGGGGCCCCCTGGCAATAGGGGATCATGGGGCCCGTTGTCCTTGCTCCAACTCACAAAAGCCTATGAAAAAGGTACCAGGGGCATCTCATGGGCCCCCCTACTGACCCCGGGCCCTCGGACTGTGCCCGAGTTTCCAAATGGTCAGTCCGCCCCTGGATACAACCAACGGTACTTTACAAAAATATAGATAGGATAATGGATATAAATGATATTAATTTAGAAAATGGATGTTAAAAACAATAACGATATAATAAAAATGGTAATAAGAATAAAAATGATGTGATAAAAACCTGTTTTCAGGTTTTTATCTATTTTTAGTTTAGAAAAAAAACATTTTATTATCTCTTTATTGTTTTCAGTTATAATCCTTTCTAATTAGGAACACCTATATTCATCTTTTTCTATGTAACAACTCAAAGTATAGGAATACAACAGGAGCACTGTGTCAAAAGTAGAGCATCCAGCTTTTTTAGCTATTTAGCAACATTAAAAAAATAAAAAAATAATAATAATAATACAGAAACAGCAAATGCGTTTCACATACTCCTACACACTACAAGAAGAATACAAATAATGGTACATTAACAATATAGATAGAATGATGGATATAAAAATGATGTTTAAAAACAATACAGATATAATAAAATGACATTAAGAATAAAAATGATGCAATAAAAACCTAAAAACACAAAATGTGATAAAAACCTGTCGTGGCTTTAGGCTTTTATCAAACCATTTTTTTCTTACTACCATTTTTATAACTTTTGTTGGTTTTAAGCATCATTATTCTTAATAATTCCTATATTCATTTTGTTAATTAATATAACCTATATTAATCACTCTCTCTATATTTTTTTTTTTTTAATTTGTCATTGTTTGTATTCTTCGTGTAGTCCCGATGAAAGGGGAGCTTGTGACCCCAGAAACGCACGGGCTGTTTTTTTTTTTATGTTGTTAAAGAATTATTCCAGCATTTTTGACTTTCTACCCTCGTGTTTTGAGGTTACATCCCTGTGCCACTCAAGGACAAGTGTGCCCAGCTATTAATTCTTACCTTGGCTGACCCCAGAGGTTGCCCCATGTGGGTGCAGCTGTCATCAGTTCATCTGGGGCTAATTTGTTGCCTGCCAGAATCTGCATCTCTGACAGCCAGTCAGTGATAAATGCACTCCGGGAGATGAAGCTTCAGGATAAAATTCTAATTAATTATGAAAAATTGCCTCTCTCTCTGCTGCTCGCAAAACTGCCATTATTACTATAAGAGTTACTACACTTCTAAAAATGGATCCAATTACTAAACTGGGATCCAGGACATTTGGCTTGCTTTAAACACCTATTTATAAAAACTGGATAACTGCCCCATTGTGTCCTTTCAAATTCCTTTTTTTAGTTTTCCCAACGATAAAAAGATAAAGAGAAAACAGGTGGCGCACACACCTAGTGCATTATCCAAGGTTTATTGTAGGAGTGAAAGAATAATAAAAACATACTCACAGACGAAGCATCAACAGCAAGGCTCTTACTTTCCATTCATCATACATCAGCATCAGAGGTTGGTCATCAGCTCTGAGGAAAGGGATTCGTCCCCGAAACGCGTCAGCCATTTGACCGCACTGACATTGAGAACACCTTGCCTGCCGTTGTGGTCATTGTCATTTTTCTATGCTTTTTAGATACATGCTTCGTCTGTGAGTATGTTTTTATTATTCTTTCACTCCTACAATAAACCTTGGATAATGCACTAGGTGTGTGCGCCACCTGTTTTCTCTCTATCCAGTGGCCGATCTCCCCGTCTGAGGAGGGCTGCACCCCTGAAGCATTTCCTTTGGTTGTCGCTGTCCTGCTACCCTTGGCTTCTCTTTTGGCTGTGCATATCCTGAGGCGCTGGAGAGTACATACGATAAAAAGATAAAACCTGATTGGTCGCCATGGGAAGGTTTGCTAGTTCTTATACGTATGCCCATGTAAGGCTACATCACTAAAAGGCAGCAAACACAGGCTTGCTGTAAGTACCCCGACTGCCAAACGTCAGCACCTGGAAGGTGTAGAGAAGTTACAAACAGAGGCTCATGGGATCTCTTATCAATTGTCAATCTTAATAGGTCAAGTGATCTCTCAAATGGCACCGATGGTGGCCACGTGCCCTTCAGTCTGACTGATCCACCTGCAGGGACGTCCCTATGGCTGGTGTCACCCGATGCGATACGGGAGTGTACGGAATATGTTAAAGAGAAAAAAAAAAAAAAAAAACAGTAAAATAAATCTCCTGCAGCCCAAAACAATAAATTCCCCCAAGCAAAAAATAGATCCCCCACAACAATATACCCCCCCAGCAAAAATAGACCCCAGCCAAAAACAATAGATCTCTCAGCAGCCAGCATTAGTAGACCCCATCCTCCACACTAGATCCCCTTCAGGAACATAAGACCCCCTCCAGCAACAAGAAACTCCCCACAAACAGCAAAAAAAATAAAATAATCAGCAGCAATAGATCCCCTAAGTGACAACAGATCCCCTAGCAGCCAGCATCAAATAGACCTTCCAACACACCCCAGCACCCCTTACTATCCCCTAGGGTTGGTGTCACCCGGTGCGATAACACTTGGTGACACCCCCTCCAACGAACGAACTCTGATCCATTATGCTCAATCCGCAGATCCGATCCATCCTGCGGGGATCGTCGGCATGCAACCTATACGGGGTGACACCGGACCCGCTCCATGAAAAGGTAAGTTGTAAAGAAAGCCGATGATCCCCGCAGGATGGATCGGATCCATCCTGCGGGGATCGTCGGCTTGCTTTACAACTTACCTTTTCGTGGAGCGGGTCCAGTGTCACCCGGTGCAGGCCGCACGCCCCGCACCTGCCTCGGGACGCCACTGTCCACCTGACATTTTCAACAATAAGTTAAATTATTATTATACAGGATTTATATAGCACCAACAGTTTGCTCAGCGCTTTACAATATAACGGGAGACAATACAGCAACAATACAGTTCAATACAAGAGGGTTAGGAGGGCCTGATCCTAGGAGCTTACAATCTAAGAGGGAGGGGCTAGTGGTACAAAAGGTAGTAACTGTGGGGGATGTACTGGTTGGCAGAGTAGAAGATTCCATTATTAGCTGAGGGCAGGATAGGCTTCCCTGAAGAGATAGGTTTTCAGAGATCGCCTAAAAGTGAGCAGAGTAGGCGATAGTCTGATAAATTGGGGTAGAGAATTCCAGAGGATGGGGGAAGCTCTGGAAAAGTCCTGGAGACTAGCATGGGAGGAGGAGACAAGGGACCTAGAGAGCAGGAGTGGAGAGGATGGTTTGGGTGATATTTGGAGACAATTTGGAGATTGTTGATGTAATTTGGGGCAGAGTTATAAATGGCTTTATAGTTTATAGTTAATGTTTTGAATTTTATCCTTTGGGCAATGGGAAGCCAGTGGAGGGATTGGCAGAGAGGGGTGGAGGACACTGAGTGGAGGCCAGTGGAGGGATTGGCAGAGAGGGATGGAGGACACTGAGTGGAGGCCAGTGGAGGGATTGGCAGAGAGGGGTGGCAGATACAGAACGGTTAGTAAGGTGGATAAGTCTGGCAGCAGCGTTCATGATAGACTGAAGAGGGGATAGCCTGCGATGAGGTCGGCCGATGAGGAGGGAGTTGCAATAATCAAGGCGAGAGATAACCAGGGTGTGAATAAGTAGCTTAGTGGTTTCCGTGGTTAGGAACGGACGTATCTTGGAGAGAAAGGTTGGAAGAAGCTGGAATTATTTGCTTTTAATCACTTTTTTTTCAGGTGGAATTAAAAAAGAACCAAAAGTAGAAAACGTTCAAGTGTTTTTCTTTTTTTAAATGTTTGGTGGAGAAAAGGAACATCTTTAGACCGGGTTCACATTGAAGCAGTGTGGGAAATGCTGCGAATCCTGTGCGTTTCCCGCACCGCATTGCAATCGCATGGCGCTCATGCGATCTGGTGCGGGTGTCAATGTTAAATTAATGACACCCCAAAACAGATCGCAAAACGTGATGCAATTGCCAGATATCACATTGCATGGGTGAGGACACCCATGTGTTGCGATTCAAGTGCGGGTTAAAAAAAAAGGGTCCTGCACCTTTGTGGTGCAGATGCAATGCAAATTGAGCCATACAATGGATCAAATTACACCGCGCAGACATTGCATTTAATTTGCACAGGAATGCGGTGCGATTCCTTTTGTGAATTACATGCGGTGTCTTTAGTGTGAACCCAGACTATAAGAAACCAACTTTAAAAACTGAATATAGGGAAATCAAGTATTTAAAATGGTCATGTGCAGTGTTTTTCTTTTCTTTAAATATTTTTTATTCATTTTAAATCCTTGCTAAAAATTTTGATTTTCTCCAGGAAGAGTCGATTTCCTCGCATAGCCCCCTCTGCTGTGGCTGCGGACTTCACATCCAAGCTGGTGGAACACATCAGCAATCACAGGGCTTACAGATGTCCACACAAGGGAGGATTTTACAGATAAATAAAATGCAATAAATACATTATCTACCTGCTGACCGCAGATAGCCGAATGACGGCTGCACTGTGACCGGCCAGTTCTGGGTGGACGTCATATGACGTCCTCCCAGAACGCGCTCTCCTGCGCGCCCCAGGGGGCGCGTACCCGGCGATCTCCGTGATCGCTGTGTCCTACGGACACAGCTGATCACGTGATGTGGTAAAAGGCCAATCACAGCGGCCTTTTACCACGTGATCAGCGGTGTCCAATGACACGCTGATCAGAGGAAAATGCAAGTGTCGGTTCTCGGCTGCACTTTCCTTACGCTGTCAGATCGTGAGGAAAGTACTGCCGAGAACCGGCAGTTGTCAGAGCGGGGATCGGCACCGATCATCAGGGCACTGATGATCAGTGCCCTGATGATCGGTGCCCAGCCCACTAGCTCCGCCCACCCGTGCCCAGCAGTGCCCCCCACCCGTGCCCAGCAGTGCCCCCACCTGTGCCCAGCAGTGCACCCACCTGTGCCACTCTGCAGTGCCACCTAACTGTGCCCAGAAGTGCCACCTACCTGTGCCCACCTGTGCCCACCCACCTGTGCCCACCAGTGCCACCCACCTGTGCCCACCCACCAGTGCCACCCACCAGTGCAGCCCAGCAGTGCTGCCAGTCAGTGCCCAGGGGTTGTGCCAGTCAGTGCCGCCAGTCAGTGCCCAGCAGTGATGCCAGTCAGTGCCGTCTATCAGTACCCATCATCAGTGTCACCTATCAGTGCCGCCTATCAGTGCTGCATATTAGTGCCGCCTATCCGTGACACCTCATTAGTACTGCCTCTCAGTGCCCTTTAGTGCTGCCTATCAGTGCCCATCAGTGCTGCCTCATCAACGCACATCAGTGAAGGAGAAAAATTACCTGTTTGCAAAAAATTTGAAAAAAAAAAAAGTTTCTTTGTTTCTATTATAAAATTTTTCACTTTTTGTATTTATAGCGCAAAAAGTAAAGCGCCCAGTGGCGATACCACCAAAAGAAAGCTCTATTTGTGAGAAAAAAATGATCAAAATTTCATATGGGTACAATGTTGCATGACCGCGCAATTGTCAATCAAAGTGCGGCAGCGCTGAAAGCTGAAAATTGGCCTGGTAAATTAGGGGGTATAAGTGCCCGGTAGGCAAGTGGTTAAATGTACATATAAACTTATGTGAAAATTGTTGGAAGGAATGATGTGATGACACGGTTGATTCGTGCATTTGTCTTGTCCAGCAGAATCTAAAAGTCAGCAAATAGGGACTGAAAAGGCATTTCTTTGACATGGAAGTGAAGGGAAATCAATCACTGGAGACACCTGTTCTGGTGACAACTGTCTAAAACTGGGTATACACGGATCGCAATTCAGCCGCTTGTGCAGGGACAAGCCAAATTTTGATCTGTGTGTAGCCCTCCCATTTGTCAGTAGCCGATTATTTGACTGACTTCTGTCGAAAGTGACTGAAATTTCTTCGATCAGCATCTTTCAGTCAATTGGCTGCAATGCTGATCAATGTATTCTGACAGTGAGGAGTTCCCGCTGTCAAAATACAATATCCCGACGAGGGGGATTTCTACATTGCTTGTGTTGATGCTTTTTTTTTTTAGGACCTCCTTCCTCCTGCTGATGATCCCTCTAGTGATAACTAAAGTTCTATATAGAGGAATTGGGACCTCCTTCCACCAATTTTTGATCCTCCTAGTGAAATGAAAAATCTATTTAGGGGAATCAGGACCTCCTTCCTCCTGTTGGTGAGCGCTCTAATGATACCTTAAGATGCACAGTATACAGTGAGGAACAGAAGTATTTGAACACCCTGCGATTATCTCCCACTTAGAAATCATGGAGGGGTCTGAAATTCACATTGTAGGTGCATTCCCACTCTGAGAGACAGAATTAAAAAAAAAAAAATTCAGGAAATCACATTGTATGATTTTTAAAGAATTTATTTGTCTTGCACTGCTGAACATAAGTATTTGAACACCTAAGAAACCACAAGAATTCTGGCTCTCAAAGACCTGTTACTGTGCCTTTAAAAAGTCCACCTCTACTCCACTCATTAATCTAACTTAGTAGCACCTGTCTGAGCTCTTTAAAGACACCTGTCCACCCCACAGTCAGTTAGACACCAACTACTACCATGGGCAAGACCAAAGAGCTGTCAAAAGACACCAGAGACAAAATTGTGGATCTCCACAAGGCTGGAAAGGGCTACGGGGCAATTGCCAAGCAGCTTGGTGAAAATAGATCAACTGTTGGAGCAATTGTTAGAAAATGGAAGAGGCTTAAGACTGTCAGTCTCCCTCAGACTGGGGCTCCATGCAAGATCTCACCTCGTGGGGTATCACTGATAAGAAAGGTGAGGACTCAGCCCAGAACTACAAGGGAAGAGCTGCTCAATGACATGAAGAGAGCTGGGACCACAGTTTCAAAGGTCACTGTCAGTAGAACACTACGCCGTCATGATTTCAAATCATGCATTGCACGGAAGGTTCCCCTGCCCAAGCCATCACATGTCCAGGCCCGTCTGAAGTTTGCCAATGACCATCTGGATGATCCAGAGGAGGCATGGGAGAAAGTCATGTGGTCAGATGAGACCAAAGTAGAACTTTTTGGTCTAAACTTCACTCGTCGTGTTTGGAGGAAGAAGAAGGATGAGTTGCATCCCAAGAACACCATCCCTACTGTGAAGCATGGGGGTGGTAACATCATGCTTTGGGGGTGCTTTTCTGCGACGGGGACAGGATGACTGCACTGTATTAAGGAGAGGATGAATGGGGCCATTAATTGTGAGATTTTGAGCAACAACCTCCTTCCCTCAGTCAGAGCATTGAAGATGGGTCATGGCTGGGTCTTCCAACATGACAACGACCCGAAGCACACAGCCAGGATAAACAAGGAGTGGCTCCGTAAGACGCATATCATGGTTCTGGAGTGGCCTAGCAAGTCTCCAGACCTAAATCCAATAGAACATCTTTGGAGGGAGCTGAAACTCCGTGTTGCTCAGCGACAGCCCCGAAACCTGACAGATCTAGAGGAGGATTTTGTGGAGGAGTAGGCCAAAATCCCTGTTGCAGTGTGTGCAAACCTGGTCAAGAACTACAGGAAACGTTTGACCTCTGTAATTGCAAACAAAGGCTTCTGTACCAAATATTAACACTGATTTTCTCAGGTGTTCAAATACTTATGGTCAGCAGTGCAAGACAAATACATTCTTTAACAATCATACAATGTGATTTCATGAAATTTTTTTTAAAATTCTGTCTCTCAGAGTGGGAATGCACCTACAATGTGAATTTCAGACCCCTCCATGATTTCTAAGTGGGAGAACTTGCAAAATCGCAGGGTGTTCAAATACTTCTGTTCCTCACTGTATAGAGGAATCAGGACCTCCTTCCATTGTTATGACCCCTCTAGTGATAACTAAAGATCTATTTAAGAGAATCAGGACCTTCTTCCTCCTGCTGGTGATTTCTCTAGTGATAACTAAAGATCTCCAGTATATAGAGGAACCGGGACCTCCTTCCACCAACTGGTGATCCTTCTAGTGAAACTAAATATCTATATAGGTGAATCAGGACCACCTTCCTCCTGCAGGTGATCCTTCTAGTGAGAAATAAAGATCTCCGGTATATAGAGGAAACAGGACATTTTTCCACCAACTGGTGATCTTTCTAGTGATAACATAAGGTGTATATAGAGGAAGCAGGACCTCCTTCCCCTGTTACGATACCTCTAGTGCGAACTAAAGATCTTTAAAGGGGAATCAAGACCCCCTTCCTGCTGTTGGTGATCCTTCTTGTGATAACTAAAGATCTACACAGAGGAATCAGGATCTCCCTCCTCTTGCTTGTGATCACTCTAGTGATAACTAAAGCTCTCCAGTATATAGAAGAACCGGGACCTCCTACCACCAACTGGTGATCCTTATAGTGAAATTAAAGATCTATATAGGAGAATCAGGACCTTCTTCCTCCTGTTGGTGATCCCTAAAAGGTGATAACTAAAAAGATCTGTATAGAGGAATCAGGACCCTCCTTCCTCCTGCAGGTGATTCTTCCAGTGATAACCTAAGATGTATATAGAGGAATCAGGACTTCCTTCTCCTGTTACGATCCCTCTAGTGATAACTAAATATCTTATAGGGGAATCAAGGCCTCCTTCCTCCTGCAGGTGATCCTTCTAGTGATAACTAAAGATCTCCAGTATATAGAGGAAACAGGACCTCCTTCCACCAACTTGTGATCCTTCTAGTTAAATTAAAAATCTATACAGGAGATTCAGGACCTTCTTCCTCCTGTTGGTGATCCCTAAAAGTGATAACTAAAAAGATCTATATAGAGGAAACAGGACCTCCTTCCACCAACTGGTGATCCTTCTAGTGCAGTGGTTCTTAACCTGGGTTCGATCGAACCCCAGGGGTTCGGTGAGTCAGTCTCGGGGGTTCGGCGGAGGTGACCCACACCCGACTCATATGATTTGTGATGACATGCCCCGCTTGTCCATCATTGGCTGCAGGTGGTCATGCAACATTGCTTAGCCCAGTGGTCGGCAAGCCGCGGCTCTTGTGTGCCGGGCGCCCGCTCCCCTCCCTCCTCTCGGGCGGCAGGGACTCAAATGCAATGATTGGCCAGTCTCGCTGCCACTCACATCCTGATAGCCAGTGATTGGCTGTCAGGATGTGTGTAGGCGGGGCAGCGTGACGAACGTGAGAGGAGCTAGGCTCCTCTCACAGTCCGCCCTGAAGACCGGAACGGCGCTGGAATACAGCGAGAGGAACGCGCGGAGCAAAGGTAAGTGAATTGACACAGGGGGGACTTGGGGACTTAATATGGGGGATGAATTAATATGGGGAATGAATTACTATATGGGGGATGAATTACTATATGGGGGATGAATTACTATATGGGGGATGAATTACTATATGGGGGATGAATTATTATATGGGGGATGAATTACTATATGGGGGATGAATTACTATATGGGGGATGGGATTACTATATGGGGGATGAATTACTATATGGGGATGAATTACTATGGGGGATGAATTACTATATGGGGGATGAATTACTATATGGGGGATGAATTACTATATGGGGGATGAATTTTCATACCGTTTGTTACAACATATCTTTGCGAGCAATCCTTTGAGGATGCTGGACATAAAGACGAAGAAAAGGAACAGACTTTGTTACGAAAATGACATGAGAGTGGCACTTGCCAAGGTAATGCCGCGCATTTCTGAACTGGCCTCTGAAAGACAACAGCAGAAGTCACACTGATTTGCGGTAAATATTCATTATTTTGTTTTTTTGTGTGAAAATCATGTTTTAATGGTTTTGTTCTTTGTTCTTAATGGTTTTGTTCATTTTGTGCACCTATGTATAAATATATACCTATGTTTTGAATTTTAAAAATCATATTTTATTTTTCCAATTAAGAAGGGTTCGGTGAATGCGCATATGAAACTGGTGGGGTTCAGTACCTCCAAAAAGGTTAAGAATCACTGTTCTAGTGATAACTAAAGATCTTTATAGGGGAATCAAGACCTCCTTCCTCCTGTTGGTGACCCTTCTAGTTATAACTAAAGATCTTTATAGGGGACTCAAGACCTCCTTCCTCCTGTTGGTGATCCCTCTAGTGATAACTGAAGATCTAAATAGAGGAATCAAGACCTCCTTCCTCCTGTTGCTGATCCCTGTGGTGATAACTGAAGATCTAAATAGAGGAATCAGGACCTCCTTCCTCCTGTTGGTGATCCCTCTAGTGATAACTGAAGATCTAAACAGAGGGATCACCAGCAGGAGGAAGGAGGTCCCGATTCCTCTGTTTGATGTCTGGCTACACTGTTGCTCATTTTTTAAAAC